GCCTGTTACGTGGCGCGTGCCAGTGACGTGGCGCATGTTACGTGGAACATGTTACGCAATTGCCGTGTGCTCCTATGTAACCGCACCATGCAGGAACTTCAGCAATGATGTTTATTTACATTCTTAATTACAATGTACTACAAGTAAACGAACTGTATTACTGTTAACAAAAGATGATACAGAATTGACCCCAGCAGGCGCCAAGGACGACATATGGGCTTTCTGAGGGACAAGCAAGCTGCAGGTCACTTGAAACCCCCAGAACGGAGCAGGAAGTATCCCGCTGCGTTTTCTGCTTAACTTCGACGGTGCGAGTCTTTGAAAATTTGAGACTTGACAGATACGAGTCGCAATAATTTTCGGAGAGGCGTACCTAGCGGTCGTTAGCGTACCTTAATTTATTTGAGAGCTGTCAGAAGGACCGTCTCGTACTTAGGCCCAAATTAACATGGATCTTGTTAGGGATTAGCTGAATGTAAATGAAAGTAACACCCAAATTTTAGGTTCAGGCAATCAGCAAAATTTCAGAGGAGAGGAAACCGGTCGTTCCCGGAACCGTCAGGACTTCTGGCTCTCCGGAGTAGTCAGTCGCAAAAAGGGAATAACAGGAGTCAGTAGTAACCTCCCGGACGTTAAATCGGTGTTGGCCGAGTCCGGTGTACAAATTCAAAGCGCTACAGCCTTGTAATGTGTAATTCTAGTTCACATTTACAATAAAGAGCAGCAGTGTTTGTGAAGTGTGAGTTTTAAGTGTTCTCTCTCTCCTTCTGTGGGCAAGGCCCAGAAGTCGCCCTGAGACAGAATCTCATCCTGCGGTCTGAGCAGTCGGAACCTCAAACGCCCGCCTATCCATATCCCCCCCTTTGTTTTCCCCGTTCCAAATTCGTGGATTTCACCCAAGTCCACTGGCGCCCATACAAATTCAAATTCAGAGTAATCCCACACCCTACCCTGAACCAGACGACAACAAGGAAGCGGCGGATGAAAGTGGAGACCAATGTAAGGGCACTAAGTGGACAGTTATGAGTGGCGAGTTATAAATGCCGACCAACTTGTGGGGCTAGAAGTCTCACTGAGCGGTTAAACACATATAAGTGACGCCAAACGTGTAGGCGAACGAAACAGTTATACTTGTTACGTAATCGCCGACGTCTTGTTCACTGTACAATGTCGTTTTTCTTTCTTGGGCCTTCGACTGTTATTTTCATGTTGCATTAATATTTAATTTCGTATATGCTCCTATTGTTTTCTTTAGGTTCTAGCTCTCATGAAAAACAGAGGCAGTGGTTCTTTTGTTTGACGCGATGTTCGACGTTTAGTATGTTGCGGACAGGGCCGCGCCATAGCTCAAGCGGTTAGGCGCTGGCTTCCCACCGCGGCGGCCCGGGTTCGATTCCGGGTCTGGTCAAGTGGGATTTATGATGGACAAAGTGGCGCTGGTGCGGGTTTTCTCCGAGTACTTCGGTTTCCCCTGCCAATCGACATTCCACCAATTGCTCCACAGTCACCCTCACCTATCATCTGGGGCTGGTACAATAGGCCAGAAGTGGCGCAGTACAAGGGAATTAGTCCCACCCCACTAGCAGTAAAGAAAAATAATGTTGCGGACAGTATGACCTTGTTTTTGTAGTTCCTCTTTTATTTCGTCTTCTTGGTTGTTTATTTTAAGTGTTCGTTGCTGTTTCATTTGTCTCATTTGTTTACATCTCCTCTCTGAGAGAGTTAGAGCCCTTCATATCTTTTCTTAACCCCTTGCTAAGTGTAGGTTGTTCAAATATTTGGGAATGACAGTAACAAATCAAGACTCTGCATGGAAAAGAATTAAGAGCAGGTTAAATTAATATTTGCTACCATTTGATTCAAAATATTTTTCTTCCCATTTTCCACATTATAAAGATTAAAATATACAAAGGTGTAACTTTGCCTGCTATTCTGTGTAGGTATGAAACTTGATCTCGCCCTAAAGAAAGAACGCAGGTAGAGGGGTTTTGAGAATAGGACAGCGAGGAGAATATGTAAATCAGTTACGTGGCACATGTTATGCATTCGCCGTGTGCACTTGTTACCTAATCGCTGACGTCTGGTTCACTGTACAATGTCGTTTTTCTTTCTTGGGGCTTCGACTGTTATTTTCATAATGCATTAATATTTAATTTCGTATATGCTCTTATTGTTTTCTTTAGGTTCTAGGTCTCATGAAAAACAAAGAGAGCGGTTCTTTTGCTTGACACGATGTCTGACGTTTAGTATGTTGCGGACAGGGCCGCGCCATAACTCAAGCAGTTAGTCACTGGCTTACCAACGCGGCGGCCCGGGTTCGATCCCGGGTCCGGTCAAGTGAGATTTGGGTGGACAAAGTGGCGCGGGGGAAGGTTTTCTCCGAGTACTTCGGATTCCCCTGCCAATCTTCATTCCACCAATTACTCCACAATCACCCTCACCCATCATCTGGGGCTGGTACGATAGGCCAGAAGTGGCCGCAGTACAAGGGACTTAGGCCAACCCCACTAGCAGTAAAGAAAAATAATGTTGCCGACAGTATGACCTTGTTTTTGTAGTTCCTCATTTATTTCGTGATCTTGGTTGTTTGTTTTTAGTGTTCGTTGCTGTTTCATTTGTCTCAGTTTATATCTCCCATCTGAGAGAGAGAGCTGTTCTGTCCGCATCAGGCTCCGTAGGTTTCCTATCCTGGAAGAACATGGCGGCGCCGACATGGCAGGTTAGTGACTGTGATACAATTTTAAGTGTAGAAATAAACTGTGTTATAAGGAAATACAGTGAAGCTATTGGAAATTTTAATAATGTAACTGGGGAAGGTGACAGAGATGATATTTTAGATATTGACCTGGACTTGGAAGAGTTATGTGAATTTAGGCATATGGCAGTCCGTCCGCGTGTGAGAGAGGTTATGAATGTTTTGATAGGAAATTGGAACATTAAATGAAAACAAGGAAGAGTAGTAATAAGGGACTGGAAGTCTCGGTAACTAAAGGGTCCGAGACAGTTTTCGGGATCGGGACCAGAAAGAGAAGTGAGAATACACATACTATCCAAAATATTCCATTAGGATTACTACGCAAACTAGAAACAACCGTAAATAAAGCCGAATAAAAGTAGCATATCAAGTAATTCAGTATCTACAGTGCGTCCTGCTACATTAGAATTAGTAAAAGATAAAGTAAGTGCTAAACGAAAAATAGTGCTTATTGGTGAAAGCTATGCTAGAGGGTGAGCCAGTAAATTGCAGGAGAAACTTAAAGAACAATATAAAGTGACAGGGTATGTCATACCTGGTGCTGAAGCGGCAGTTTTGACCCGAATAGCACAGCAGGAAATAAGTGGACTG